AAAGTTTAAAAGAAAATTTGTTGCTCATATGGGCTATCATAATATAGCATTTATTCACAATGCATTGCATGCTCTGTTGAGTCTAAATTGCTTCTAGTGCTTGAAAATGTGATTCAACTTCATATCTTATTTGCCATCATGGTAGCTCAGCTGATACTGACACCACATCACGAGCTCAAAAGAATGAGGAAGTGGCCAAGAGCGACGGCCCCGGCAACAGTAGAAGCTACAGCCAATGGTTATTGCCAGAAGAAGTATTTCAGAAAATGTAAGGCTAAGTCCATGCTACTTTAGGTTACAGCATTGTCGACAATTCTTTTGCTCATCGTCGAATTGCCGTTGATATTGTACTGGGTCTTCTCTTTCTCATCATTGTCATTATCGTATTTATTTATCATCATAATCATACCATCAGAAAGATTAAATACAAGAAAGTCATCTGAGTAACCATGCGGCAAACATTTTCTAGTTCAAAGTACAAATATAACAATTCCATCAGCTTGATAGATAAATCGATAAGTTAATCGTTGCAAGGAGGGGGGGGGGAAAATAGCAATCCTTTCTGCTCCAAACCCATCGTGGCGATTTAAATAAATAAAAATGCATTTCGCCAGACAGAATTCATGCTTTGTTTCGAACACAGAGCTGTTCTTTTTCAACACAAATCATAAAGACATACAGTATACAGTACGGTAAAAGTTAGGGGCCGCCCGAACCGACGCAGGCGAAGGTCCCTGGAAAGTCTTCAAAGAGACGATATAGCAAACAGGATGACAAAAAAATTGCACTCCGTTCTGGTGTAAGGATTTAGAAATACATTCATAAAACTATACATATACACATATAGAACTTCAGTACAATATTCCAAGCAAAATACATTTGTCAAAACTTTCAGTTGTGTGCTACAATAGTGAAGCAATGTCTCATACACGAAATAAGGCCATTGTAAACTGAACAAGCCCTCATTTTTGCAAAAGTCTAAAGGCAGGTTTTGCCCACACCGCCTCTCTGACTCTTCTCTCCTCCTTCTCTGAATAATACCTCTGTCCTTACAAAAATAATATACGTTTTCAACACAGTACACAGGAGATGATTCAGGCTGATTGCAAGATGTATTGTTTTGCGCACAACAAAACTGGGTTAAAAATCCTTAAAGTGAGTTTTACTGGGAAGCAAGCGAGTTTATGGGGTTTACATTCTAAGCATCCGAGCCTTTTCCATTCAAACACCCCCTGAGCCACGTCGACACGCTGCCTAACTCAAGCTAACACCGTCTTTACCTATTTATAATGCACCGCTCTTGACGAATCCAACAATTCATCTCCCTGCTTCATCCATCAACATTCACATTTTAAAAACCCCTATGCATCGCTCAGCTCCACTAAACCATAAAGACTCTCACTACCCGCTATAATGAGGCTTCAACCCCCTTTTCAGCTTTCCAACACCCACAAAAGTCAGTCGACTCTGCGTCCAAATAAATAAAATGACCCTTTGTGAGACGATGAATCATGTGACACTACATTAACTTTTTTTTTTCTGATTTAAAAAAAGCCATGACGAGAGAAAAACGTGTAAATGATTATATCTGAAGACCCTGATCCTTAGATTCTCTTCATTGTGGTCCCCTACTTTAAATATGGATTTTCAGTCAATATCTACATATTTAAATCTCTCTCTCTCTCACTCACATCTTGCTGCCCTGCCACTCATTATGCAGCACACAGCACAATAAATGCACCTCATTAAAAGACATACACTCACACTACACTTTGAAGAAAGGCAATAAGAAAACTTCTCCTTTTGGTTGCAGGAATCAAAGGATTTGGACAAATTTTGGCAAATGCTCTCTGCTGCCACAAATGTACTTCTTATAAGATAATTACGCATGATCTCTTTTTCTATTTTTAATCATCAGAGCAGCTACTGTTGTGAAATACTGAATATACAGCAAAGAGACACGTACAATCTTGTACAAGCTCCAAAACATTTGGAATCACATGGAAAAAATATTAACAGTATGTTTTTTTTTTTATAGAGTTTACCAAGGACTGAACATTCAGTAGGGAAGTTATACAGGTCTAGGAAGTTCATTTAGGTTTCTTTCACATTTTTTTCTGTTTTTTTTCCGTTTAATTTCTTTCTTGTCAATCGAGCTTTTCTTGTCTTCGTAAATGGCGCACACTGAAGAGAATGTGTGCAAATACCAAGAGTGCTTGTTTTTAAGTCATGCCAGCTGTCCACAAAAAAAAAAATAGTTACAAATCAATAAGGTACATAAAATTACTTCATATACGTGACCATACAAGTACAGATCCAGCAAGGACTAGCTCCAAAACATCGAACTAATTGGAAGCCAGACCTTGAAGGTACTTCTAAAAAGGGTTGTGTACATGACGGGAGGGTCAAAAACGACCGTCGCTCTCCTCACCGAAACTCAAGAACGTCGGAGATCCCTTTACCCAAAGTTCAAAGAGCGCTGAAATGTTGAGTAGTATTGGTCTGAGGTGCTAACGAGACAAAAAAAAAAATCTCAGATTTTTCCCTTTTTGCAGAAACATGAAGAGAGGAATGAGCTACATAGTTGTTTTGCAGACGGTAGAACACGTAGTGGTGATAAAACCAAATGCGAGCTCATAAACAGACACAAGCTTTTAATAGCTTATAACTCGACACTGTCGGCTCCGTTTATGCCGCTAAAATATGACAGTCTTTAGCGTTTTTATCGATATACGAGGTTTGGTGTTTGAAAACACATTAAAAAGCTACTGAGAAGTGACAAGAGAACAGCTTCATCTGAAAGAAAACGCCAGTAGCTTAGTTTGGCGTGCTACTCCTCTGCTGTCAGTCAATGGTCAAACATTGCACATTTAACTAGAACAGCAAACAGGTCTTTTTTTTTCTGTATTCAGATGCAAATCAAAACCTTGAAATACTGAGTTAAAGATGGCATTAGTCACTGCACAAGGTAAACATTATCAGGTTTTCTCCATTAAGAGGAAACTAAAACTATTCTTTATTGGAATGAAAAGTCAAAGCTGACAGCTGACTTGTTTCTTTTTAAGTAAATACTTTAAGTAAACTTGTTTTTGAGAAAGCCCTTACTGAACAAGATTTATCAAGTTTTCTCCAAATAAGTTCCTGCTGATGATTGCTCAGATTGAAGTTTAGAACCAGCGGCAGAACTGACCTGTTTGAGCTGTTCTAGCGGGCCTCGCCATTGAAATTAAAACATACGCTCGAGTTACATTTCCATGCCGGAATTCAACGATTCAGAAATGCACAATGCAGTGTAGTTAAATGAAATAAAAATATTTAACAAGTGTTCAACCACTGCAACTTTAGAATTCATAAATACATATTTTACAGTAAAGTGCTGTCCTAAACACAAACACACTGCCTGACCAGAGATATAAAATAAGAATGCTGAAGGACGTGTTGTTGACATATTGCACCTGAAACAAGTATAACCACCACATATGGCAGGTTACCGTACATGGTAGCCAAGTAATACTGGCAAAATAGTCGGATATCAAAAAAGAAAAAAAACTCATCTGGAATCAAAGACATGTTTACACATTTACAACAGGTTAAGTTAGAGTCAGTGTGACAAAGAGAAGTGACCAGAGAGAACGTAGGAGGGTTTACACCAGCTGTGAGTGACGCAGAGAGAGAGGCAGCTCGCCGTCTCTCCGCATCCCTCGTCACATAGGAAGAAAACGTTGCAACATCAAAACAGGGAAATCAACAGGAAGTTCAAACTAGTCTAGGCGCTGGTAGAGAAGAGGTGAGACTGTGGCACCCCCTGGATGTGGAACACAAGAACCCCAGACTAGGGCTGATCGCATTTCCCAGAACGCCTTTGTGCTGACCGCCCTGTGCTACAGCAGTCCCGATACTCTAAAAGATGAAGGCAGGATCAGAAATGTGTTCTTCAGCAAATGTGCAGCCGGCTGATTAATTTGTTCTCTTCTTCTGCAGATAACGATGATAGTCACCCTGTCACCAAAGCCCCCCATCCTTTGCTCCCTAACTCAGTGCAGTGCTCTTTTTTCTTTTTTTTTCCAGGACAGATCGCAAAATAAAGCGGCACTATACTCCCTTTACATTGGTCAAGGCAAGCTAAATGAAAAAAGATTTAAGCACTTTAAAATGTCTTGCAAGCAAACATGCAGAATGCAGCCGATACATATACAAACACAAATAAGTATTTAACTATCTATTTAGATATATATATCTATATATAAACTCTGCCCTGTGAAAATTATAGAATAGCAGTGTTGCTACCTCACATAATAGCCATTATGTGAATATCCAAGCCTGTAAACCCAGGTATGTTTATGTGTTTGGCCTACCGTTCTCAGTTTATGTGTGTAGAATGTTTCTTCATTTTTTTTTGCATTACATCTAAGTCATTGACTCTGCTACATATCCATACTTTATATTGTATACTAGTTCACCTACTACTTATAGTAATAATAACAACAATAACAATTGCTTTGGTTTTAAAAAATAAAGTTTTTTTCTTAGTTTGGCATAGAGAGTTTAGAAACTGGCATCGGGATGGGCCCTGGGATGAGTCGTGCCACGGAAATCTGGTAACTTGGAATGCGGAACATGGCACCCGGTGAATTCTGGTTTCATGGTATGAAATGCTGCAACGGGTGGGTGAGAAATGCTACATGTTCAGCTATATTACGTCTACTTTGAGTTGGATTTGCTAATTGTCTTGTCGTCTGATCAGTGGGTGAGGATGTGAGACGTACAGTGTTGTCCAGTAAAGGATATGGCAGCATGTTAGTGTGTGTCTCAATGTGGATGAAATCAGGTGTTTGTACGAATATGTCGAGTGTGTCTTCCTGCACAGATGCACATGAGTGTATGTGTGTGTGCGTGTATGCCTACCTGCCTTGCGCTTCAAATACAGTCGTTGTGTATATACAGTACGTGTGTCTGTGTCTGCATGACTCTGCCTGTGCTCGTGCATGTGGGGTGTCTCCTGGGTGTCTAGGTGCACGAGGGGCTGGTGGCGCTCTCCAGGGAGGACTGGGAGAGGCGTCTGGTAAGGGGTCCGATGCTGGGGTCTGCCAGAGAGGAGGTAGGGAACAGCTTGTACCAGCCGCTGACTGTGGCAGACAGGTCCAAGTCCTCCAGAAGGATCTGGGCCATTCCCATGAAGCACTTGTGGTCCATTCGTCCATAATCTCCCCACACTATTACCTGGAGGAGAGACAAGAGTAAATTACAGCACTAAGGAATTATATCTGCCATTGGTGTGACCTTTTTGAAATCACATGAAAATATGAATTTTTACACATTTCAAAGATCCTGCAAACTAATATTCTCAATCAGCTTCATGTGGGTAACGGTGTCCTCTATGATTCATTGTCAACATTTGGTTATTTCACAAGAGGTAATTCACATTTTTTCTGTTGTGTTGTGCTCTTTGGCTTAAAATACATTTGATTCCTTCAAAAAAACATGATGTCACACACTTCCACGAAACAATCAGAATACAACTCAAGTCTCTTAAGCCTTTAAGTCTCATTGTTTGGTGAATATCAATTAAATCCAAGCAAATTGCCTAAAAAAAAAAAAAGCATTTTTAGCTATAGATACTTGATAAATACTTTTTAGCTTTGACTGTTCATCAGTAATTCGTCAATCTTAACTATTGCGGATAAATAGGTCAAATCTGAACCCAAGTTTTCATCAGCATAAACCATTTGAAATCTATTTATTCTAAATTCACCTTGTTGTCAGGGGGCAAGCTAACCCTGTTATCAGGCAACGGCAGCAGCCTCACTAGGCAGGACGATGCCACAGTGCAAAAATTGCTCAGGGACAAGACAAAAACTAGCCTAGCTGAAAAACTCCTCAGATCCTGAGTGGATTAATCATCCACTGAAATAAGTTTGATCCACGGAGGTCCCCTTCCGATGGGATCTTCGTGTCAGACACCACAGGACACTCCCAGAGGTCCTGTTTCTACACCCCAGCTGCTCCGAGCTGTTTTGAGAGCACGAAGGAAACCTACACAATATTAGGCAGCTGGTTTTAAGTGGTGAAGTGCCAGTGTAGAGCCTTGTCATTTAAAACTTGGACTCTAACTAACCCTTTACAGGCCAAAATATAAAAAATCATTGATAGATATGCCCCAAGCCATATAATGAGATGGTAAATTACAGTAAAATGAGGAAAGATTTAGATTTTGTTAGTCCATCTTTTGACACACTTGAAAACATTTTAACTCTCAATAACTTAAGTGACAGAAGGTGGACCTTCATCAGTGTTACATTGATATACTGGGAGTGGGAACGATTGGGAAATTATATAACTTCGAAAAAATTCAAGGGAAACAAGCATCACTTACCTGTAGGACTTTCCCCTGAGGACTCTCATCAAACAACAGAGCCTGCTGGTAGGTGGGGTCCAGATTCTTCTTTACGACTTTGGTTTTCTTCTTGGCCAAGCACACTCCGTTCTCCAGGACATACACCTTCACATAGGTCGCTACAAAAAAACCACACACTTAGCAACACTCCTGTAAAGCTGCAAAGTCCACAAAATTTTAGTTTTAATGAGTAGATGAAGTCCATACCTGGTATGTTCTTGGAGCCTGGTTTGGGGATCAACCCTCTGGCCTGGTTGACCTCGACCTCCAGCTGCCCCCCTCTGTCGACCATGCCTACATGGACATCCCCTACAAAGAGAAAACAGCTCCATCTCTAGCAATTCAACAACAATAACAAAAATAATAATCAGAGCTAAACTTTCGTTTTATTCTGACCATTGTAAAAGAAATAGAGTTTCAACCGCAGTTGAGTTCTGTGGTGCTCAGCTAACCATCAGCTGAATGCTCTACTTGAAGATGCAACAGTCCATGTCTAACAGCAGAGGGCCACACAGAGCTGCGAGACTGTCTTCCCCACCAGGTATGGTGGAGCACACTGCTCTGTTTTGTTGTTTTTCACAACCAGTGACCTTTGCATTAAAGATTTATATCTCATGCAAGAATAACTTCATCCGTGCTGAGTGAATACACTAGTATTGTGTAGTATTTTTAGATGCTACTGTGCATCAAAAAGGTTGTGTGTTGGTATAAGGCCTTGGAGATATGAAGGAGATTGTCTGACATCCATCCAAAGAGATCCACATGCACGTGTGTTACAGCTTTAATTGCCTGTGAACGTGTGATTGCTAATGAATTATAAATGACTGTAGTGATATGCTCCTTTGTCAGTGTTTAACAAATGTTTCACATATGCATCTACTCTTGTGCAGCCAAAGTCACTAAATTTAACATATGAATCAGCTTGACTTTAGTTTGCAAATACAACACCTGAGGAGAATGAGATGGGCTGAACAGAAATAGCTTCATTCTTTGCTTACCCATTGGGGGTGTAGCTAGTGTTTGCCGGCCTACGATCTGAGCAGGGCCTAGTCCATCCAGGAAGTCACTGAACTGGCTCTCAGGCCCCAGGCGTGTGGTAGGGAAGACAAACCTGAGAGAGAAGAAACACAAATATCATGGATGGATGGACAAAAGGAAACTGCACATGGGTGACCTGTTGGTTGGACACGCACGTTCCATCGGAGCTATTTGAGTTGGTGCTGCCATCAGTCGAGTCCTTGCTGCCCTGCCGTGTCACTCGGTTCCTCATCTCCACGGCGATGCCGGTCTCTGTACTCCGTCGGATGGTGCTGCGAAGCTTCTTCGTCCCACCGTCTGAAAACATAGAGGTCACAGCTTATTCCAAAAGGATAATCCACTGAGCATAATAATCAGCGGAAGTCACAAAGCTGCCTGATAAGGAAGTCAGGTATTACACAGGGCCATCACCTGCATGATAAGACACTCATGTGGACCTGCTGCCGACACTTTGCAAACAAGTGTTCGGAAATCAGCCTCGACTTGGTCTGCAGATGGTAAATAGTAGTAGATGTTTCCTCTGGCAAGACTTATATTAGTTCTCAGTTGTCCAAAGGTTTTCTACATCATTTAGTTCATTTAAAAAAACACCTGAAACTGACTGAGGATGGGTGTTTCTGTCGCTTCCTTTTAGTCTGTGAAATGTGCTGTACAAGAGCTATCTACGATGTTAGCTTTTTCTAAATTACTCATAGTGAATGAGGGAGAATTTAAGAACAGCCATCTCTCTACTATTTATTTTGGAGTAAGTTCACTCAAGCGAGAAGGCAATCTCACCTAATATCCACCGGGAATGTCTATTGAAAAATCTCTCCACTTCACAGGTATTACTACAGTCCATTTCAAACACGTAAGGCCCATTCTGCAATGGCTGTGGTGAGAAGGGGGCAATAAGCTTTTAAGGGGACTCCTGAGCCTCGACTTGTGAGGCAGAAACGCACACAAATTGGCAGCATGAGAAGTGTTGTGGGTGGCGGGGTAGAAAGAAAGTCCAGAAGCTGAGCGCAGAAGACGAAGGAGGGGGGGTGGTGGTGGGGGTATTTAGGCTTTACAGCTTTGCTGACGCTAGGAGAATGGGAGCGAGCCGGAGAGCTGCTAACCCCAGAAGAAGCTTTCAGGACATCATCCCCTGTAATGACACACTGTATCTCTGTGTGATTTGACATGCTGAAAAAGCAGTAGGGCACAGTGGAGGCGATTTGGGCTCAGGAGGGGACATGTAAGGTTGTGCACTTGTGCAGTTTTAGTAGACAACTCTTAACTTAACCCTTCTTTCACTCCCTCCTTTGTCTCACTATGTGTTTTGCAGCATTACCCAGAGTTCTCCGTGTGCAAAGAGACACCATGGCAACACAGGCTAACATCTCAGCGGTGCATTTCAGGGCACTTTACACACATATATTCACATATACATACACTAATGCATTCATACTAAAGCTGAAATGATAAGTCAATTTATCGATTGTCGAGAGAAAATTAAATGAGCAATGAATTTCTCAAGCGAAAACGCCAAATATCTTTGATTTCAGCTTTTAAACGTGTCTGCTTGAAAGTTTAAAAATTATAATCTACATTTTTCAACTATTTTAGAACATTTTATAGAGAAAAAAACATTTTATCAGATTAACTTATAATGATAAGAGTAGCAACCATAATATTTACATCTGTGCATTCATCAAATTGAAGTAATAATCTACATTTACGGACACCTATTGCTTAATTATAGTAGACGACTGTGTGTCATTTGAAGTTTATAAAGGGAGGAACTAGATGTAGTTGAAAGGCATCAAGAAATTATTTAATCCTCCCTAAGGGCCACTAATGTGAACAACAAAGCAAACCTACAAATTCGATAAGCTCCTGACAGAAAGGCATCAATCTAAGGACACACGTGCACACGTTCACACAGAAATGTCAGGCTGACACTCGACAGCACAGGGGCACATTCACACCCTCAACAACACACACACACACACACACACACACACGTCTGCATTTAAGCAATCTGGGCGACAGAGTAGCAGTTGAGTCACACAGGAGGATGAAAAAGCAGCTGTGAGCCGTCATGTCAGCAAAGCTTGCTTCATAAAGACCTTTACAAAGTCTTTGACTAATTTCTGGGACACCCCTTTGACAGAGGCTTTCTGGACAAATATATATATTTCTTTAAATCCTCCAGTCGGGATTAAAAGTTTTCCCCCCCAGCTGAACTTGTTAATTCCAAAGTAACTGCTTATCAAAGCAGTAACACGAGGAGGAAGCTGGTTAACTTCCTCTGTTTTACATAGTGTTGCATCTGCGCAGCTTATTATGACTGCAGGTGTGGTTGCCGTAGAAACTCGTACATCTCTTCTCTATAGGAGTCCAGATAGTTTAATGGTGCAGTGAAGTCACCAGAGGAGACTTTTAACAAGCGGTTGCTCATTGTTGCCAGTTAAGCGCACACCCAGGTACAGCCGTCCCACTTCATTAGCCTGAGCAACTCCAATCTCATTAAGCATCCCCACCATGCCCGTCTCATCGCCATGACAACCGCAGACACCCAGCATCATCACTATCACTATGGAGATAAACAAATAGCAAACAAAGCCACTTGATGAGACTTCGGGGGGGTTGAAGTGATGAGGACAGGGGAGGATGGAGGGCTTTGAACGAGGGATGAAGAGTGACACAGAGGAGAGTGGACAAGTGCTGAGGACAGATGGGTGAAAAGGAAGATGAGAATGATCGGGTCCCATGGGTGTTAAAGATGAGGAGAGGTGCTGCCTTCTGCTGCCGTCTATTTTTAATCCTGCAGTCAAGAATATTTCCAACAGACAGTGTGTGTGTGTTAGAGAAAGTCAGTGTGTGTGTGTGTGTGTGTCTGTAGTATGACACCCAGACAAACTCCATGCACTCCTGCTGCCATGACAACCCCTGCCTTCGGATCTGGACCCAGACAATGCCACCTGAGACAAGTGGCGCCATGGCGACAGGCTCATTCCCAATCACTTGTTTAAAATTAATTTATCGAGGCAACATTTCACTGGAACTCCTGCACTTTTGGCTCAAACGTGGACTAACATCCTCACTGCGGTGCAAAGCCGAACTCTGACTTTGCTCATAGATGACCTGGCCTGTTGAAGAACATCATGTTTAATGTTGTTAAACCTAATTAGGCTGTAAGACTGTAAGAACTAGTATTACAGTCAAACGGGTCTATATGTATGGTCAATCTGTCAAAACATTCCTAAGAGTCCACACACACAAGTGAGACATGTTGAACATAAAACTATCCAGAAGTCAATAATTTAAAGCCATTAATTTCTAATGTTAATTTCCTGCTACATAACTAGATTCTGGTATTGCACTAAAGTAACAATGCATGATTCACAGTTTTTTTTTTTTTGTTGTTGTTGTTTTTTTTTAAAAACTCATTTATATATACCTCCTTTTATGCAGCCACTCAGTCGACATTCTCCCTCAAGAGCAAAGTAGTTCTGGGCTATTTGAGCCCCCCAGAACTAAAAGTCCACTTTCTCCTGATTGGTTAACTTCTGGAAGCCTAACGAGCGGCAGCAGCCAGCGCTTGTGAGCACAGCTTCACTCACTTGCCAGTGTTAAGTTTTCTAAAGCAAACTGTAAACCTACAAAATAACATAATTTGATTGGAAATGGCAGCCTCTCAAATATATTCTTACATGTTCCTAAATCCGTTCTGGAGCACGAGAGTGATGAACACTGACAGCAAAAATAACAGCAGGTCTTGTCTGTTTGGTAAATACTATGATCATTACATGCCACTATTAGAAGGTATACAAGGTGCGCTCAAAAAGTTCCAAGGCTGGTTCTGTGGCAGACTAGGGCACAGTCATATCCATGCAGGTTGTGATTTCACCATGGACCTGCAGAATCAGCACCGTGTAAAAGTCTGCAAGGACCTCTGTCAACAGGCCTGGAATGACTCGGACTTCATGTTCAAGATCGGCAGTGTTGATGAGAGTAGGGTTTACGGCTATGATCTACAGGCAAAACAGCAGTCATCAGAGAAGAGACTGCAATCTCCAAGACAGGAGAAGAAGCGTGAAGTCAGGAGTGCAACAAGGAGATGCTCACTGTTTCCTTCGACATTCATACGGTTGTGCACTGTGGATTCCCAGTTCTACTGTAATGCCCCGAGGCATCAGAGGGAGAAAATTGCCTGCACCAACACAACTGTTGTTCTCCACTTTGCCTGCTTGCAAGATTTGGATCCATGTGAATTTTTCCTCTTTCCCAAAATGAAGTTCAAGTTGAAGGGTTTAGATACTGTGGAGGAAATCCAGCGTTGGGAAAGGGACTTCCAGGAAGTGTACCAAGTGTGGCAGAAGCACTAAGAGCAGTGTATCATTGCATAAAATACTTCCCCATAAAATACCACTGACATACTTTGAAGGGAATGATGGGAAAGTATAAATCAGGTACAGTTTTTGCTTTATATAGGCGTATACTCAGAACTTTAGATCTCGTATCTGTTGGAAATGTACTAAAATGCTGACGAAAGTGTAAAATGTCTATGGTCAGGAAATACCAAAGGTAACATAGTTAGAAAACCACATGCATTAACACAATAAATGCTTATACCACTACTCAAGTAGGCTGTTTTGTGAGCACCTCCTACTTAAAGCAGTAAGAAATCTGAGTTTTTGGCTCACAAGAATTACTTTTGCATATTATCTGAAACGCTGCCCGCATTAATATGAGCATCTGACATTATAACATTATATCTACGACAGAAAATACGGGAAAGCATAACGTGCCCCCTTTAACTTCACATCCACACTTGTTACTCATTTGTCTACCGGCCCCTCCCCTCTCATCAAAACAGCCCCCCCATCCCCCTCCATGGTGCGAAGCAGTGATCTCTTCCTTCCTATTTAATCCCCTCCTCCTCGTCTGCGCTTTCCCTCCATTCGTTTCCATGGCAATGCCGTCTGCATTGCACCAAGAGCCCCGGCCGGCATGTTCGCTCATAAGCCTTTCCCCTCACTCTGTGTCTTTCTTTGCTCATATTGTCCTCTCCACAAGTCTCACTTCTTAATCAGCCACCACTTCTTTTCTCTCTCTCTCTCTCTGTCTTTAAATCATATCTCCCCAAACTCCTCTTTCTTTTATTGATGCTCTATATTTGCAGATCTCTGTTTGCTTGCTGGCTTTCTTATCCCTGCTCCCCCTTTTTCCTACACACTCCTTAAACACTGATTTCTTTTCTTCTGTTTGTCATACTGGTCTTACTGAATCCTTCACTTTTATTTTCCCTTTTCTTTACAGTTCTTTGGCTTCCGTCTGTCTTTATCACACAACTCTTATCTTATTTCCCACTTCATCCAATAAATTATTTAATGTATTTTCTCCTGTCCTGCTGGTGAACTAACTTTGTTGTGAAGTGTTTACATCAAATACACACACACACATCCTCGAAGAAGTGATTAGAGGTTGTCTGACATATACACCACTTGAGCGGCTAAAATAACAATATTACATAAGTTGCTGTGCTTTATTGTACTAAAGGAGAAGGTTTCTTGGTCTTTGTGTGCTTCAAGGCTGTTAAAGTGTCTCCTGTTGGTTTCACTGTGATGAGTAACACCTCGTCCCTGGAAAGATGCTCATGAATCTAACAGAAATGTGCAGCCCGGGGAGCAATTACACACTCGAAACTTTCTTTTTGTGTGTAAAAACCAACAATTTGTTGGAGCTAATTAGGCAAGTCACATGTTTGCCAATCAAGGTAAGGTAAGATCAAGTCACAGGAAGATAGAAGTGGTGGGGATGGAAAGAATTAATAGCTTCAGTGGTGAGAATTAATAGCAGAGAGGGGAAATAAAGAAAGGTGGGATTACTGAAAACGCCAACAACGCAGAATAGAGCCACACACTGTGATTGCACACACACAAAATATAGCTTTGTGTGTGTGGTGTGTGTGTGTGTGTGTGTGTGTGGTGTGTGTGTGTGTGCGCGCGCACTCAGTAGATCATTAAAGCTGCTCTGACATTTGGAGAGAACACTGATGAAGCCTTTCTCATTATATGCTGTAATATAGAATGCTGTTTTTAGACTCCCTGGCTGCACCGACATGCCTATTGGATGCAGCGGTGACGGCAACGATCCACCATGCATAGCAACAGTAACCAAGCATGGGTGTTGGAGATGAAAGATCTGTTGTGGTATCTCTACCGCCGGACCCCTGCTAAATTTGGACAAAAGGAAGATTCAAGGTAGATGCTTAAATAAGACAAGAGATTACACAGCCATGTTTATGCCTCATACACTATGAGTTTGTTG